AATATTTTCTAATATAAATATAAATGTATTGAAAACATTGTTCACAAATTTTCCAAAAAGTAATTTCATTAACTTCATACTTGATAATTAAACAGAAAAAAAATCGTATAAATCATTAATGCTAGATTTATAAAAATATTTATTTTGTTTAATTACCAACTTTGGAATTTCTAATTAAAATTTCAATACTGGTTCAAACTGATTCAGACACAGATACTTTCTAGAAATTATCACATTCACAGATTCCAAAAATACTAGCCAATCAACAACTTTATTTTATCCAGATGCATTTTGGAAATTACAATATTTCCCTCCTCAGTGAGCTTTCTGTCATACAAGCTAAACAAGGCACAATCACTTTTCAATATTCTAATTGAAAGCTTTAACTAAATTCAAAATTGTAATATGAAGTTAATACAAAAGAATATATTCCTAAACATTTTACTCTTATAGGAATTGCCTAAAATCAATATCCTAACAAAATGTTTCTAATGTCAGGCAGAAATAAAATCTTCCTAAATAAATATTTCAAGAAAAACTGAGTTTCTTCAAATATAATTTTGCAATTTTTTCAAGTTTTCCTCTCACAGTTTGTTAAAAAAAATTAAAAGAAAACAAATGTGTCATGACAAAATATTTTACTCCATTGTTTTCCCAATAGCAATCTTTCCCATTTGATGATCTGCAGCTTTTTAAAATGATCTTGTTTTTGAAATAGCTTGCTAACATGACTTGTGATAGGTAATTGAAAATATTTTACAAATCTAGACTTGATCAATTCTGGTTGAAAGGCATTAGGTGAAAAGGTTTTGAAATGTTTAGTTCAATTCTGTTCCACATATCTTTGTGGACAAACATTTTCAATATTCTGTTATTTGAACAACAAGTATAAAAATTACGTAGACAATGGTCCTAATTTAACACGTTCATGGCATTACGAGGCACATGTAACTAGTATGGACATGTCCAGTTAGGGCTACAGACATAATTGTTTGTTTTTCCATGGGGCGGCACATGTTTTGATAACATAATTCTACAAACATCATACTTTATATATCGATATTATTTTATTATATGCAATAAAATATATTAATTTAATAGTACACGGGTGACTTGTGCCGCCCTGTATTAAAATAGACAAGTCACAGGTGACTCATAAAGCCCAGCAGCTGCCTAAACGTTTATCTACTGATGCCATGAACGTGTTAAGGTTAAAAGTAGGAAATATTGAACCAATGTGGAAGGAATTGTTCAAAACAAAAATAGGCACAATTTCTCCATGATATTTAGATTGAACAGATACTAGACATCACTTTTTTAAACTTGTTATACAAAAGTTAGTGTAATTTAACTTGTTTGGTTTGAATATCATTACCTACCTATCAACTACTGTAAAATACCAAAACTTTCAAAAACTAGAGGGTCTGTGGCTTATCCTTTAAGAAGGGAGACCACAGCTCTTAGCTAATTGGGAACCATGGTCTTATAGATTTAGTTTTGCTAAAAGCAGGGATGTGAAATCTTTTTTAATGAGATCATCATCCTATTTCAAAAGGAACCCTTACACAACCTGCATAACATATTGCAAATTGTCTAAGAATATGCATTTAGTATACATGCACCAATAAGACATATGAATCTTATTTAGATAGTTGTCTTTATTGAGAAAGAACCAAAAACATTTTCATAATAAGAATTAAACAGAGTTAAACAGTGTGTAGTAATTCTACACACTGTTTAATTCAACAATCCACAAAACCTTTTTATAACAATGTTGTGTCTGTAACAATCTTCACAAATGTTTTCGACCTCCACCGAGGTCTGCTTCCACCGTTTAGTCACCACCTGAAGCAGACCTCGGTGGAAGTCGAAAACGTTTGTGAAGATTGTTATGAACACAACACTGTTATAAAAAGGTTTTGTGGTTTCTTGTTACTCAATGCAATATTAAGATTAGTAGTCGTTTTGTGTTACTGTTTAATTCAAACTGTGTAGAATTAAAGTATTCATTTTTTATGAGAGTGGACTCATAAAAATGAATACTTTAATTCTACACACTGTTAAATACTATTCTCTGATTGGTGAATTGCTTTTTGTCCTTATGTTACAATATGGAACTATGAGCACTAAGTTTTGGCTCTACAGAGGACTTATCACACACTATTCATATTGGAGTAATATGAAGTACACAGAAGACACAGAATTGGAGAAATTGGAGGACACAGAAGTAGGTAGATACAGGTTTATTATAATGACAAGCAATTACTCCAACAGTGTCAATAGTGTGTTATAAGTCCTCCATAGAGCCAAAACTTAAGTGTTCATAGTTCCACACTATTCTCTGACTTTAAATTAATATTGCAGGAGTCACGCTGCATATTACAAAATTTGCAATTTCTAAAAATTATATTCATCTGGTAATTGCTTTTATCACCTGGCAATTGGATGATGAACAGCCAGAGAACAGTCCTCAGTGAGAAATAGTATCACGTAACAAATTGGTCTTGGCCGATATAATTTTACTGTTAATAAACAGAAATAAAGTTGCTTGAAAAACTCAGTCATAAAAACTCTTTTATATATATTATAAATATATTGATATATATTGTTGGCCATCCTTTCATTTAACCATTTGGTGAACACGCCCGTGGCAAATTGCCACAAAATAAAGATAAAGTCTTTTGCTTGACGTTGTATTTAATTATTGCAGAAGTTCGTCATAGTATTTACTCTTCATAATACAAGATACAACATGTTTATGAAATTGGATCAGTTATACTAACTGTTTAGTTGTTACTGGTCTGTGAATGAAGTCGTACCTTATTTGTGTTGTAACTGCCGCTACGTGCCCTGCCACGTAAATAAAATATCGGTATACTTTTATATATATGTGTTTAATTTTTTTTAATAAAGTAAGTCAATATTTGCAAGTTTTTTAAATAAATATATTAAATTAACACTGTCGTAAGTTTCTATAAATTTTTAAATTTATATTAGTGTATATTTTTGAAAATTATAAGGGAAACAAAGAGCTATCCAAAGTAGCAGCAAAAACCTAAAATTTGTTTTATTTGTAGCATACACACAAAAACAATACGAAAAAATCAATTTGTCAGGAATGGTTAGAAATATTGGCAAAAAGCATCGGAATATAGTGATTATATGTGCCATGTGTGAAGGTGAACATCACATGAATATAAAGTAATTTTTTTTTATTATCTAAATATTTTATAACCAATTTGTTCATTAAAATGTCGTAAAATTAATTTTCTGGTATATCTGATTCATATTTTCAAAACAATAATTAATTATTGACTTAAATTAGGTAATATTACATATGCGGTGTAACTGTTGCAATGCATCCTCTCATGAGCTTCTGAAAAGCGCATTCACCAAAGGGTTAAGGTTGGTACAGTGAGTCACAGTAAGTGAAAAAGTAAAGTCTATTTTGGCAAATGGGTTGACAATTGCTATAAAAAATCCACGGAGATCCCTGCATTGACTTTCACATATGTTATTCAGTACTGCAGAAACCACAATTCAGATAATGTTAGAAAAGATCATCCTGGACCTAAAGTTCTTTTTCTTTTTATTTTTTGCTCATACAAGGATGGTACAATGCTTTCAGAGCTTAGTCTTCGTAGAAATAGATCTTCTCCTTTGAATTACAGTAGAGAGTCATTTATCCAAAAGCCAATCAACCGAAAGCATTTCAGTTGGCAAATTTAAATTTCCGCAAATGCTGTGGCACTGCAACCTTTGGCTATGTCTTGGGCTACTCCAATATTTTTTTTGTTGATGTGTGTTTTATCTGGCAGCACTGGCACATTTGTGCAGTGTTTTTCTGAGGACTGTGTCAGAATGTGTTGTGCTCAATCGAACGGTTTTGATAGTAGATTAACGTCTAAAGTATAATTTTTTTTCATTTTCATATTTTTCAATATATTTATTTTGTTTGTACAAAATAAAGAAATAATTTTTAACGATACAATAGCCACAATTATTATTATAAAAATTTTCATTAGGCTTATCATCGACAAAAATTCAATGCAAAGCAACACACAATGGAGAAAAATTTCAACATGGGATAGGTTAATATATTTCGTACATAATCAGTTATCTGAACAACCCCAGTCCCCAATTGATTTGGATAAATGACGCTCTACTGTACTTTTAATTCTGCAATAAACATTTGTCTTAAATTATCTTGATGAAAATTTTTTACTATAGCTGTAATTCTATAACTCAACGACGGCTGTAAAAGACAGTTGAAAATATCCATTCTTATAATAAATCGGTTCCTTTTAACCAGATTACAGCTATTAGTGTGGACTTTTATCGCAAAAAAAGTAACAACATACTTTCAAATTTCGAAATTATTATTATTGCTTAATTTGTTCCAATAATCAATTTATAAAATGCTATATTCCCTTTATGTTACAGCATTATGAGTAAGTATACATCAAGACGTGTGACACATTTTAGCTTCAGCCACTTAAGATATATAGAACATATATTCAGTGTTCACTTTCATTTTGATAAAATTTAAAAAAAAAATTTGTTTTATTTTAAGCAAACAAAGTTTTGTTAGTTATTATTTAAAAATTAAATTAAGATATATAAATATGTTTCATACTTTACTAAAAAAATATTTTAAAATATTCTTTCTTTATCTCTCTTTTCTAAAATAAATATTCTTTTATATTTCTAAACAATTCCTCATTAGCCATAATATGATAAAGGATTATTTATGAACAATGTTTCTATCAAAAGTAGTTTATTAAGAGTTAAATAAACGATAATAAAAATTATCAAATTCACAAAATATTTGTAATAAATAGGCAAACCGAAATAGGAAACCCCTGTGAAAAATTCGCACCATAAATAAGCGTGTTACAAAAATGGACGATTAGAAGACAGACATACATACATACCGTATGTTTACCAGATCGTATATAATCAATTATAAATGAAAATGCACGTGCATCATCGCAATTTACCTGGTTCAGAATTAAGTTTTCCTTTCGTTGGAATATCTTTTGTAACTTTTGTTGTTGTAACAGGCTTCGTTCCTTTAGTTTTCGCATTTTTGGGGACTTTTTCTACCTTCTTCTTTTCCGTCTCCTTTTGTTGTTGTCTGAGGATTTCCAATGGATCTTCTTCGTCATCGTAAAATAATTCGTAACGATTTTTAATTCCGACTCCATACGTAGTTTCCATTTTATTTATTTCCACTCACCAATCACGATGTGAATGGATTAAGATTTCTTATGCAAGCATAGACCCACTTTTTGTTTAAGCTACCTAAACTCCCAACAACCGCAAGGTCGTAACCAACATGGCGAATGATTCTACGAAATAATATCTGCCAGATTATAAGTATCACATACATTAAAATTATAAATCCTCGATGTAAATTCTAAAAGTAATTTTAAAATATTTCTATAAAAAAATGTATTATTTTTTTAATATACATTTTTTGATATAAAAATTATACTACTAAAGCACGTGCTCTTATTATTTTTTGGCTCTTTCGACCCTGTGGGTACCGTACATAACAAGCGTCAAGAACGAAACGATCCTCGCTCTGATTGGTTGCATTTTGTGTGCCAGCGAAGCTTACTAATATTTCATTTATATATTATTAAGTGCAGCATTTATAGTTACCAGTTTTAACAATCTTTTATATGGAATTACTATAAAACACGTTTACAAAGATATTATTGTTATTACAAAAAGAGTCTCCATATTCTCAACTCTTGCTTTTATTTATTATTAAGATACAAAACTCATCGAAAATTTGTTTTTTTCGTTAATTTAAGAGTTAAACACGTACAGTATCTCTCGACTAACGGCCGGATGGCCGAGTGGTCAAGATGACAACTTACTGCTCTGCGGTAACCGGGATCAAATCTCAGACGGGTCGAAAAATCCCCAGGAATTTTTCGGGAGGTGGTCCAACCGGATATGTCGGCCTCCGTTCCTCACCGCCCAGTCGCCCCATTGTGGGCTTAGCCGAATCCATAATGGGCTTGCTAGAAAAGGCTATCTTAGTGCCCACAGGGTGGAAAGAATTAACTGAATTTTGTAGTTTCAGTGATGCTTAACTTAATCCTAATCTAACAAGAAGATTAGCCTTATTTGAGAGAAACCAGGTTTTTAAAGGAGAACATTTTCTGCTCAAAATATCATATTTATTAGATATACACATTGCTAATTCGATACAAATAAATTTAAGTTAATTACTTCTTTTTCATAATTTTATACATTGAGCCAGTGGCCAAGCGGTCTTCAGTACACTGAACACTAGGAGTTCGGTCGAGGATTCGCGCCTCGCTCGGACAGGCTGGTCACGTGGAGTTTTTTGGGATTTCTCCACGTTTGTAACGCCTAAATGGGACCAGTTTCCCTTAAATACATCTCCTGGAAGGCATCACCCAATTGTTGCGTTGCCATAATTTAACAAACAAATTATACATTGAGAAACTGAAACACTTAATGACATGCTTTCTTCCTTTTATATTCTTCGGAGCGTTTCTTTATGCAGCAAGAATGTAGCGAAAATGATGTCACGAGCAGCTATGAATACAGGTCGCTGCATCATAGTTTAGAAACGCTTTCCGCTCGAAAAATGGCGTCTGTGCTTCGAGCGAAACACGGACGCCATAATCCAGTGGCGTGCCGTCATTGGAAGCGATGGAAGCGCCGCTTTCCTTGTATTTTCTAAAAAATAAATACAGTACATATTGCGCGGTTATTTTCATATTTTAACGTATTTTGAATTAATTAAAATTAATATTTTATTATAACCGCATTATGTATCTTATTACAAATTTATATACTACACGTGAAAAAAATGATAAGATCGCTATTGTATATTCGAATATCAGTGTCGGATTGGAAGCGCTGTATCAGCAGAGCCGGCCCTACCATAGGGCAAACGGAGCAGCCGCTCCAGGCGCTAAGTCCTAGGGGGCGCCTCGGTGGTAAAGAAAATTAAAGGATATAAATTAGAGGCAACCAAGGGGAGCGCCATAATAGGATCTCGCTCCGTCCTAAAACTTGCCTCGGGCCGGCACTGGCTGTATGGTCGAAACCTTCCAAGCAGGCAGATTATACGCATTCGCACATGCGCTTTACAGAGCACCAACATCACGCGGTTTAAGCTGGTGGAAGCTACACACACATGTAACGTTTCCAATGATTCTATCTACAGGACCGATTCTAGGCTGTTAGCCGCCTGCCTGCTAGATATTTCGTGATTCACACAATCGGCCGCCCTCGCCCGATTGTGTGAATCACGAGTAGATTTATAACTTAACCCAACCGATAAGAATTTACTGATATGTTCGTATAGTTGACAGGAGTTTTAAAAAATCCATTAAAATATTTGATATTTTTATTCCGCTTTCCCATCTTATATTACTTACGGATTTCAATGTTAAACCATTGATATTACGATTTCGTATGTCCCATCTATAAGGAAATGTAGAAAAAAAACGTGTACAATTCTTGTACAATGTTAAAAAATTAACTATTAGTTTGGTAGCATCATTTACAACCAAATTTAATGAATGAGACGCACAAGATACAAAAAAAAAGCTCTAGAATTTATTTTCCTTAAATTTACGATTTATGTATCCGTTTGTCATAAAAATTTGTCTATCCACTTTTTTCCCACGACTACAAATATTCGAGTACAAAGTAACCGGTTTCGACTTATTTCTACTTAAGAAGTACTTAAATAATTAAGCGATTAGGGAATTGGGGACATAAACAAAACCCTGCTGAAAGAGCCAGAATTTTACTTAAAAGCTTAACCGAACCAATCTCTAGCCGAGTACAGTGGGGACAGATTTCTTCGTAATATTAAACGTAATAAAAACAGAAATTTTTCCAGTTCAACGAGAATGACCGAAAAGTTGTAAATTTTGGAAATTTCCGTGGATATCTGGTCCTGAAACGAATTAGTTAGAAAACAAATGACTTTTAAGTTTAACATATTTAGATTTTTACAGCTATGGTGAGAAACGTTTAAAATCTACAACAACCCTGTCGCGTCCTTTGAGATATACTAGTGATGCGACAAAAGAGGCATTTGACATTAACCAATATCGGCACCCTCGGAATTTGGCATGCATGCACGCACTGCAAACCTACCAAGATCGTCTCTGATTCCATCCATAAGCCACTCGTAGGGAGCAATTTTAACTAAGTGAATTGTTTTAAGATTTAAAAAGTAAAGAATATTTTGTTATTTATATGTAAGTTTCATCACAAAACTATAATCATAATTTTCTTTAAAAGTATATTCATACAATTGAATATTCTGTACCAGGTATGCATAATTGTATATCCACCAGACATTTTATTTTATCAAATAAGTTTTTATTATTTTATTTTTAATTGTAGCCCTTATATCGTGGCTAGCGATTCGGAATGTACTGTAATTATGATATAAAAAATGCATTTAGAGAAGTCTACGGTTTTTACTGGCTTATCGAATAAACGATACGAATGGACCCTAGGCCATCGCTGACGCGCAATTGACTGATTGCCCCTGGATGTCGGCTTCTTACAGCTACGCAGCTTCCCTATTATCAAATGTCACGGCACGCCATTAGTAACGATATAAATGTTCAAATTTTTCAGCTTATCAATATTACCCTTTATTAATTAAGCAATACAATTGTATTTTTTCCCTCCCTGTAAATGCACGANTAGTAAAGCTGCAAAAGACACGAAAATCGTAAATCTCGTATCGATTCTTTCGTAAAATTGAAGCAATTTGGAAATCAAAGCAGAATAGAATTTAACATTAGTAAACAATATAAAATAAATATTGAAAATTATAACTTAATTACAGATAATAGATATATTATATCTAAATTAATAGATGTTATATGTTTTTTCTCAAAGCGAGAATTGGCATTTAGAGGGCATAGGGAATCTATTGAATCTAATAACAGAGGTAATTATATTGAACTTGTTTATTTATTAAGTACGTCATGTAATCTATTAAAAATACATTTAAAGAAGTGTACGGTTTTTACTGGCTTATCGAACAAACGAATACGAATGGACCCTGATGCGCAATTAACTGATTGCCCCTGTAAGTCGGCTCCTTATAGAAACACAGCTTCCCTATCATCAAATGTCACGGCACGCCACTGGCCTCAATTAATAATAACGGTCTAAAAAAGAGTGGAATAAATATGTTTTTAATGACCTTAAAACAACGGCGTTTGACCTCATTTTTATAAGCAGTAAAACACGTGCAAGGTCAATAGAACAAAGGCTCTTTCCACTTTACAACTGCCTCTGGTCCTATGGTAGGGAAAATTTTGCAGGTACTGCAAATTTTATACGATCTTACTGGCAAGTCAAGAAGACAGAAACAGATGCGGAAAGTAGAATATTAACAGCAGATATCTAGGCCTACATATACGACAAAATCAGACTATTAAGCATATACGCCCCGGTAACACCAGGGGAAAGGACAGAATTCTTTCGCTCTCTAGACCATTACGTAAGGATAGGCATGGATTATATCATCGCAGGAGGTGATTGAAACTGCATAACAAACAACGAAAAGGAAGGAGGAAATGATATAACATCAAGCAGAGCCTCAGAAACTCTAAAAAGAATAATGAGTAACCACAAAGTAATAGATATATGGAGGAAACAACACCCAAACATGAGAACGTTATATAACCAGTAAATGTAGTACAAGGATTGACAGGTTCCTTGTCCAATCTATTCTGGAAGAAGTTATAGAACGGTCAGACATCGAACCATGTTGTTACTCAGATCATGAAATGATAATGAAAATTAACACTCCCCCTCATAGCAAACGGGGCGAAGGATACTGGAAACCAAATAATAAACTGCTAAAAATACGAAGAAATAATTGCGATAAGAAATAAATTTATAGAAAAATATCTACAAAAGCAAGAAGAAGAAAATATTGTTTTGTGGTGGGACAATTTCATGACGGAAATAAAAACATTTTTCATAAAAATAGCGACAAAAAAATCCCACGAAAGAAAATCAAACGTAAAATATCTAAAGAAAAAAATTAAGATTACTTTTGAATTCGCCCCATGAGGACACAAAATTAAACAGATAAAAGACGAAATCAAAAAGATAGATAAGGTTGAAATGGAAGCAGCAGCGATTAGAGCCAGAGTCGAAATCCTCAAAGACAATGAACGGCCTACTAAACATTTTATACGAATAGAAAACACAAGCTTGTGTATAAGAGGCATTCATTCTATTAAAATTTGGTGGTTTTGAGTCGCTATTAAAGAAGCGAACAAAAGCTTCCTTGGTAGCGACTCAAATTGAGAAATCTTGTG